TCATAGTCACAACCCATGCCTTGGGCACATTTGCAAGCATGAAGACCTTCATCCTATTCTTCCAATAATTATAATTAGTACCATCAAAGAAAGGAGGTTTAGTGGTAGACAAACCTTCAAGTGGTTGAGAAGATAGAAATTGAGCCATCCCCGATCAACTTCTAGGTGGTTAAACCTTCAAATTGGAGCCCTTGCTTTGATACCAATTGTTGACTCAATGTACTCCAAGAGGGGGGTGAATTGGAGTTCTAAAAATTCTCCCCTTTTTCAACCACAAAACTCAAGCTAAAGAGAGTAGAGAAGAAGAGCTTGCACAATGAATTTATAGAGGTTCGGTCCAACCACTTGGAGCCTAATCCTCTACCTTGGCTTCACTCACCAAGGATTTCCTCCACACTCTTCACTAAGAAAGACAAGGGTGGCTTAAAGGAGCCACTCAATCCTTTTACAACAAGATGAGAATTTCTCTCAAACCTCACCCCTTTACAATGTAAACCCTACAAATCCTCTCAATAGATCACTCTTGAAGGAATCAATACACCCCCCAGATCACTCACTAATAGCACAAGAAGAGTATTACAAGCAATGATCACTCAAAGATAAAAAACTCAAGTTAAAGCTCAAGTAGGTAGGTAAAGATATTCAATGCAAATGTTCTCTAAACTTCTTCAGATCTGTTACCAACCATATTTATACCCCCTTGCTCGAAAATAGCCGTTACTAGCCGTTGGAGGTCATTAAATGCTTTGCAGGACGCAAAAGCCGAGTTGCAGGATTGTCAGGAGAGTCAGCTTAACATTCTAGAGCCGGCTTTGCAGAGCCAGCTTACACTTTCAGAGCCGGCTATCTGGGATTGCAGGACATTCTGTTTTCCTCGAGAGCAGGCTGCAAGACTTTGAACCGGCTTTGGAACTCCGACTTTAAATACATTAAATATTCTTCAAAAGACTCGATCGTTGTGCATTAAATGCACCCTCACAGCTGGCTGCAAAGCCAGAGCCGGCTTTGCGTCTTTTCTCCGCGCGCGCCAAACAACAGTCTTCAAATTTTTGCCCGTAGAGCCGGCTGCAGCTTCCAGAGCCGGCTTTCTGTATTCCATTTCACCAGAGCCGGTTGCACTTTACCAGAGCCGGCTCTCTGCACACTTTGAATCCTTTTGGTCTATTTTTAGTGCAATCCAAGTTTACTTGCAATCTTTTAGCAACTTAACTACACTTTTAAATAAACCAATTAGTCACTCAAATGTGTTTTGTAATCATCAAAATCATAGGTACAACAGATAGCAACAAGCAGATGGCTTTGACAGTTTGGCAACAACAAGTAGATGGTTTCGGCAGTTTGGCAGCAACAGGTAGATGGCTTCAACAGCAGCAGACCAGTAGTGTAGTGGAGGGGATGGGATTTGAGATGGTTGGGCCGGTGTAAAGGAGAAAACAAGGGGCGGCAAAAGGTGAGCACTGGGAAGGGCAAGGGTAGAATTGTAGAAGGGTGGCAATGGAATGGAAGGCATTCAGATGGTAAAGTCGCATAATAGAAGGAGAGGGAAAGTCGGGGAAGGTGAAAATGAAAATTGAGAAATGAATTAAGGTTAGGGTTAAATGTACGTAGGGGAATGGATTGGATTAATTTTTATGGATTGGGTTGGGTTGGGTAAAATTGGATTAAATTTAATTTTGATTGAATTGGGTTTGAACTTGTATTTGGGTTTGGGTTTGGGTTTGAGTTTGAAAGGTGAATTAAATTTAAAATAAAATTAATTTATATTTATTTTAATTTTTGCGAGGGTATGAATCCCCACGAGACCCCGTGGACGGGAAAAATTCCCCGTGAAATTTCACGGGAGGAAAATGCTCCCCATCCTCACCCCATGGGGAGGAATATTCCTCCCCGCCTCGTCTACATGACGAGAATCCTCACAGGACCCGCGGGAATGGGGGAAATTGCCATCCCTAGCTCTGGGGCATCTCCCCCCACCACTGGCTTCTTGCTTGTCTCTCACGAGCACCCACCATGGCTATTTATCGCCGTAGGAGACCTTCAATTCTTGCCGTTCGATTGTTCCTCAACATTTCACTGTTGATTGATGACGGCCTTGTTAAAGTACCTTCGTCCTCGCTTGGGGCTGGACCAATGGGGACGAGGACGAGCGTCTCCCTGAGCTGTCTTCTATACAAGCATCCCTTGGTTTGAAGCCTTCACCAAATTGAGCCTTCTATGTGGTTAATTGAATGATTTGGAGAGAATCCATATAAACTTAGCCCTAATCAGGGTTATAGGAGGTAAAAGGGAAAGAAGGACAAAACGCGTGACTTTTGTGCGTTTTGTTCTTTTTTAATTTGATAAATTTTGTTGCCTGTCTTCTCTCTTCATTGCAAGACTTTCTGATTTTTGCAATTCAACGTAAAGCAAAAATCATCAAATAGAGGTAGTTTTTATTCTCCATTTTTAATATAAGGGTTATTCTACCTAATAATTTATATTATGTAATATAATTAAAACTATATTATACAAATTTATAGTAAAATTTTAGGTTAAATGCTAAATTTAGTCTCTCAACTTTAAGAAATGCACATTTTTGGTCCCTCAACAATTTTTTGCATTTTTTTATCCCTCGACTTTAAAAATTGCACAGTTTTGGTCCCTCCGTCAGTTAAGTATGATGTGACAGTTAAATAATTTCATGTGGCATTATCTTTTAATTTTTTTGATGATGTGGCAATAATATATATTTTAATTATGTTATATAAATAAATAAACATAACATGTAGATTAATATTTATAGTTTAAATAAAAACAAATAAAATTACCTAACTACCCTCACCCACCCAATCCCTCTTCTTCCCCTTCTTTCTTTCTTTCTTGCCCTGGGTCTCCACCAGGCTAGATTCTGATGGCTGCGATGAACCCAGCCTACTGGATCTTGTCGGAACCCAGCCTGCTGGGTCTCATCGGAACCCAGCCTTGCTGGGTTTGGGGAGACCTAGCCTTGCTGGGTTCGGGGAGACCCAACCAAGCTGGGTTCGACAAAACCCAGATCTACTGGGTTCAATGGAACCAAGCAAGGTTGGGTCTCGTCGAACCCAGCTTGGCTAGGTCTCCCTTGCTGGGTTCGTCAAGACCCAGCAGGTTGGGTTAAACGAACCCAGCCTGGCTAGGTTTCCCCGAACCCAGCCAGGCTGGGTTCCGACGAACCTTGCTGGGTCTCGTCGAACTCAGCCTTGCTGGGTTTCCCTGAACCCAGCTGCTGGGTTCGACGAGACCCAGCTGGGTTCCGATTTGCTGTTTCGATGCTGGATTCATGTTTTTTCATTCTTCTTTTGATTTTCATTTCCAGTTGTTAATAAATTTGAGAGTTGATTTACAATTTGATTGAATTTTTGTTGGAATTTGATTAGAGTTTGATTGATATTGTTTATTGAAGGGTTAATTTGATTTAATAAGATCTACTAAGTTTGAGGCTTCAATGAAATCCAATAGCTGGGTTCAATTTCTCAAGTTCTCTTGAGAAAAGAGAAGAAGAAGAAATGGGTTAAGATCGGTTTGGTAGAGGAGTGGAGATGAGAGAGCATTAAGAGAAGAAGAAGAAATGGATTAAGATTGATTCTGCAGATAGAGTGGAGATTGATTCTGTAGATGGAGTGGAGATTGATTTTGCAGAGAGTGAAGATGAGAAAGGAAGATTACATGTCGCAAAAAAAGTCCAAATCAACGCTTTTTAAAGTTATTTTTGCCATGTTATAAAAAAAAATATAAAAAATGCCATGTGGCCGAGTTAACGACGAAAATTAACAGAAGGACTAACGAAGTGCATTTCGTATAGTTGAGGGATCAAAAAACTGTAAAAAATTGTTGGAGGACCAAAAATATGCAACTTACTAAAGTTGAGGGACCAAATTTAGCAGTTAACCAAAATTTTATAAATTATTTGCTATTTTTTATATTTTAAGAAAAATAAATAGCATTTTCTTCTTATTTAACTCTATCCTTATCCTCCAACCTTTTTTTTTTTCGATTAATATCCTCCAACTTTAATTACTACTATATCTCCGTCAACTTTAATCATTTTAACTTTTTAAATATTAATTTTTTTAATTTGTGTCATATATGTTAATGTAAAAAATGCATTGTTTATCATAAATTTATGTTAAAAAACCATATATTGACCTTAAATTTGTTTGCTATTTAATTAAATTTATTAATATA